ACCGGCACCGGGAGAGCAGAACGGGAGCGGCACCGGGAGAGCAGAACGGGACCGGCACCGGGAGAGCAGAACGGGACCGGGAGAGCAGAACGGGAGCGGCACCGGCACCGGGAGAGCAGAACGGGACCGGACCAGGAGAGCAGAACGGGACCGAACCGGGAGAGCAGAACGGGACCAGCACCGGCACCGGGAGAGCAGAACGGGACCGGCACCGGGAGAGCAGAACGGGAGCGGCACCGGGAGAGCAGAACGGGACGGCACCGGCACCGGGAGAGCAGAACGGGACCGAACCGGGAGAGCAGAACGGGACCGGCACCGGGAGAGCAGAACGGGACCGGCACCGGGAGAGCAGAACGGGACCGAACCGGGAGAGCAGAACGGGACCGGACCGGGAGAGCAGAACGGGAGCGGCACCGGGAGAGCAGAACGGGACCGGCACCGGCACCGGGAGAGCAGAACGGGACCGGCACCGGGAGAGCAGAACGGGACCGGCACCGGGAGAGCAGAACGGGAGCGGCGGGGCGGGATGACACACGGCACAGCGGCGCACAGAACACGGTGTGTGGGAAGCGGGATGGGGTGCGGGATCCAGCACGGCAAGGCATCAGCCACAGCTCTAGACACGGTTCTATTTTATTACGGCAAAGGTGAAAAAGCCACCTCGGCCCAACAGGCAACCAGAAAAATTTATCCCAAAAATAACTCGGTACAAAACAGGTCTGCTGAGAATTAAAAAAAACCTTTACAGGAGTTAAAACCTATCCCAGAACATAAAAGTAAAACAAATCCCATCCTCGGTAGTAGTAGCCACAGCTGCAGCCCCTGCCAGGAGTATGGAGCGAGAGTGGAGTCCTTCCCTGCGCCACTGCTGCCGCCTTAGCTGGTGTCCATCTGCAAGAGAGGGGACAAGTGTCACCGTGTGCCGACAGCAGCCCTGCCCCTGCAGCCCCTGCACCCAACCCAACCTTCCCTGGCAGCCCGGCCTGGGTGAGCCACAAACTCTGGGGACAGGGACAGGCGGGTCCCAGCCACAGCACACTGTGCTGAGCAGGACAGTACAGCACCCTCTGCACGGCTCCAAGGCTTTTCCTGGAATTCCTGTTCATTCCACTTGTTGCTCACCCTGACTTACCCCAGTCCTACACCCTGTGGCCTCAGCTTTGTTGAGATCCCGACCCAGCTGTGGCACAAGGTCACAGGTACAGCCACAACTGCCCAGGGCTCCCCAGGCTGGGGCTCCTCTGCTACCAACACCACACCTTTCCCCCAAAAGCACAATACACTGCTCTTCCACATGGGATTTTCCTTTCTGTTTTCCCATTCCTGCAGCCTATCAGCTCTGTGGGTTTTGTTCAGCTTGTAAAAGCTGTTCCAGTCACAGAGGAGCTGTCCCAGCCTGGCAAGAGCAGAGGCTGTCCCTCAGCCRTCAGTAACAGCAGGTGACACAGTGCCCTGGAACACAAAGCTGAGCCCAAGCCAAGGCACAGCTCAGCTTCAGAGAGACTGCCTCAGTCCAAGGRCCTGGAAAATGCTTTYTCTYTTSTGCCAGCTCCAGGCTGTCAGAGTTTCCCAGGATGTGATGCTGTGGGGAGCCCACGACAGGGCCCAAGCAGCACTTACCCTGGCATTGTAAGCATCCAGCTGTGCATCTAGTTCTTCTGCAGAGAGCTGCTGTTTGGAGGTTCTTCCAGCTCCTCTGCCTCTCCCTCTGGTACCACCACGAGTCCCTCGCCTGTTGCCTCCACCTCCAAATCCCCCCGAGACGCCGCGGTTTCTGATCATGCCACCTCTGTTTACGCTGTGAGTTTTAAACATGACTGTTTTAGTGCTTCAGTAAAGCCAGAGAGGACCCACGTTCCCCAGCAGGAAGGGGCCCAGCACCTCCCTGGCCCACGGCCGAGGCAGGGGCTCCCTCACCTCTGTGCTGGTCTCCGCTGCGTGTCGATCTGTGATGTCACCAGCTGGATGTTCATGGGGCGCCCTGCAGGGACACAGAGCTCTGTCAGTCTGCACAGCACGTGTGGAGGTGGCAGGGAGCAACACGGGCATGGGAGAGGGATGTGGGGCTGCRGGAGACGTGGGCATGTTCCACTGCAGCTACAGGAACAGCCACGCAGACTCACCATCCAAGGGGACCCCATTGTACTGCTTCATGGCCTTCAGCGCGTCAGCCTTCCTCTCAAAATGCACATCTGCCGTTCCTAGACTGCGACCAGATCTGTCATAGTGCACAGCTGCCTTCTTCAAGGTCCCAAACTCTGCAAAGAGCTCCTGAGAGCAAGAGGGAAAGGAGCASGCCCATCCATCAGTGCTGCACACACTGCCACACTCAGCACCAATGGTTTTCCAACCACCACAAACAACCTGGAACAAGAGCCAACAGCAGAGAGGAGCAAAGCCCACGATGAAGATTTCAGGAGGTTGTCACAGGTGGCAAAAGCAAGCAGGACTCAGCATCCACCTGCCGCAGGAGGCATGTTTACAGCCAGCAAAGCACACTCAAGGGATGCTGACCTGTKTGTTTTCCCAGGGAAACTAGCCATCTTTGCTGAAGCTGAGTCAAAGCTGTGGCTACTGAAAATACCCAACCCCAGACACCTTTCTCTCAGAGGAGAATGATCATGTCAGTGCAGGAATCCACGAGGCAATGAGACTTTTACTGTGCTGGATTTGTGCCATGAGGAACACACCCCAACAATGGAGACCAACAAACTCCTGTGCTGAGCTCTGTCCTTTGCTGCCACAAAGACCACAAATAAAGGGGAACCTCAGAGTCACCAATTTCGTYTCTCAGGTGCTACATCTGGGAAGCCAACACGGTCACTGCATGGCTGCCAACCCCTCCTGAGGCAGAGCAGGGCTCCCAGGGCTGCTGCACAACTGCAAAGGGCACTGATGGCAGAAGCTTTGTGCACACAGAGGGGTGAACATGGTGTGTCAGCTCTGCCCAGAGCCCGTGCTCAGCTCTGGCTCAGCTGCTCCTGCCTCAGCACACACACACAGAGCAATGCTGTGCACTCCTTGTGCCCACAGCTCCTTCAGCCTCTCACAAACACAGAGAGGCACCAGCACAGGAACAAAACCAACACTAAATGATGGGGCTGGGGGCCAAAGCCATTGAGTSAGCCCTGCTGCWGAGCAAATCCCRTTGGGAACCTGTGCAGCAGCAGGARGGTGAGTCCTGACTGCACACAAAGCACAGGGCCGAGTGTTACACACTGCAGCCACACTGCAACAAACAGGAACTTGTTTAAACCCAATCTGAACCTGCACGAGGAAAGAGGGGGTGTGCAGCACTCTACCCAGTGAGTGCATGACTGACAGAGCTCCTCTCAAACTGCCCAGGCACAGCCAGATCAGAGCACGAGAGACTGAAATGAGTGACCCAGTGAGGATTGTCTGCCATGGTTTGGTGTTCCCTGGTGAGGAGTTGAGAGCCAGAGGCCGGGGTGATGGCAGCACTCTGCAGCACAGGAGCCCTGCCAGGGACACAGCAGGGCACTCAATTCCTGCACAGCTCACACTCACACTCACACTCACAGCCCTGGGGCAGATGCASCAAGCACCCAACTGCAGCACTGTGGGCTCTGAGCAGCCCAGACTGGCCATGGCCATGACAGATGGAGGACAGGGCACTACTGAGGCAGTGCAGGGGGCCGGTTCCCCTCACRAGTGACACTGGTGACACTGATGGCTGCATCCACGGCAGCCCCTCAACATCCAACACAATGTGTTTTGACAGATTTATCCCCAAAATAACTCGGTTATTTGACAGCTGCACAGAGCAGGAGCTCACAGTGAATTCTCCAGCACAGCTTGATCCAGCAGAGTTGCAGCATCGCTCCCTAAGCTCCGTGCAGCGCAGCAGACACTTACAAAAGCACCTCTACCGGATTTTCCAGCGCCCTCGAGACCACCATGACCGCGGCAMAGCAGGCACACGCAGCAGAAAGCCCTCCCGGGGCTCCAGCGGGGGTTCTGGTGCCCGGAGCAGGCGGGAGCGGGGCACAATGAACGAGGCCGCTCCTCCCCGGCGCCACCGAACCCACCTGGATGTCCGCATCCGAAACGCCGAAGTCCAAGTTGGAGACGAGCAGCTTTCCCCCGGTCTCCACGCCGGCCCCCGCGCCGAAGCCGCTGTCGAACAGGTCGTGCTGCCACTTCTCGGGGAGCTGCTTGGGCTGCAACGAGAGCGGAGCTCGGTGACCGCCGCCAGGGCCCGGAGCCGGGACAAAGGACCGCCCGCGCCCGCGCCCCGCACGGGCCCCGCCGCTCCAG